TGGTTACTCATAATTATATTATGGAGCATTTTAAAAATTGGAAAGAGGTGAGTGGGGTGCCACTATTTGATTTACTACGTGAGCAATAACTTAGCAAATAGAAAAGACATTATTTTATGTTATAGCTTGTCAGTATCTGTAATTTGAGTTTCTAATTTGAACCAGTGCTGCATTCAATATACCATGTGACACACAAAAATCAATGTTTGGGTTTTTTTAATATTTACTTTTAAATTAAAAATTAAGTAATGTATAGTTCTGAAATTTGAATTATAATCTACAGTTTGGTACTAAACTTATTGAAGTAAATTCATGAAATAGTAGATCAATAAAATTTTGAATGTGAGTCAACAAACAAGGTGACATGGCCTTTCACCTGCGACCTGTATCAAAAGGGTTAATGAGTCTGAAGGATGATTTTCATGTTAAGATTATAAATACTACTTTTCATCATAGTTTTTGTATTTCATTTGCATAACCTCGAGAGCCCCCTAAATCAATATCAAAAGTTTTGTAAAATGTAAACCATGAATTGTTTACTGTAGTACATTTGCCATTGACCTTTATTCATTTATAATGCTCTTGTTGGCACTGGATATAGCAGGTAGTGTGATTGACGTGTTATTACACATCTTTATTCTGACTTGGATAAAAATATATTTCGTACTAAACATATGTAAGAAATTAATTTCTTAATTTAAGGCTGTCATTCCATCTGTCTTTGTAGTAGTCTTTTATTTGTATAATAATTTAAAAAATTTTGCCCAGTGTGAATATATTCAAAAATTTCCTAGCTTGTATAGTATTCATATAAATTATTCTTGAAATCAGTTTGCATATTTTCAAAGCTAAAATAATTTTTATGTAGTTTGTTGAACAGAGCTATACGTCATTTACGCAGTGAGAGTAACTTTTTTAAATGACTTCATGATCAAATAAAATACTTGGTTTCCAAATCAAAATCAAGTTTTTGCTTGAAATATTAAGTTTAGTAATTGCTCTTAATAAAATGAAAAATGTATTGACTACAGATGAGTTCATTATTATTTAACTAGCTTTCCTGTGATGAAAAGTCACAAACCTGACATTTGTTTGAGGATATCTTTCCACAGCGCTCTGAGGTTTGCAGTTAAATAACTACTTTGTTCTGTTTGATATTTTTTTGAGTTAGGAAAAATGTTTATATTTTCCTTATTTTTTTCTAGGTTGTGTTCTGAAAAAAGGATTAGCATTAGGTTGCAATCAAAAAGATCTTGTAAGTAATGTTTTATAAAACAATTTATTAGTCAAAAATGTTTGTGTAGTAAAACAAACAATAAAGGTGTTTTATGCTGGATATAAAAGAAAATGTATATAAAACTGGTAAATATTTTTGTGAGTAATATTTTCATAATGTGTAAAAACTAATTAAAGAGGTATCTTAGTAATTTTGTGTTTTTGTGTTATAATTACTTTAATCCTATGGCTACTGGGTCCTTGTATTGTAAGGACCTAAAGTTGCTGTTTTTATATTTTGTTCCAAAAATAAAAATAGTGGATGAAATTGTTTGAAATTTAACAAGAACTTTCCTAAAAGTATGAAGCTTAAAAAAAATAAGATATTTAATTTTGATTTTTCTACTGATTCTAATAGTAAAAAATAGTTTATTTTCTGCACTTTCTCCTGTTATTTGGAATACAGAGTTTGTGTACAGTCTTACAGCATGATTAGCACATTCTATTTTGTCCACATTTCTGGCCAAAGAAACACACTCCATTACTTGTGTAGAGATGAATTGCCATCACCAGTCATTTTCTAATGCCAGCTTTGCATCTCTTCTGAAATTTGAAATCCTTCTACAGTCATGTTGGACTTCATTGCACTAGAAGACTCGTTTCAGTTTCTGTAACAAATATGCTCGATCTCTTCAACTTTCCTTGTTGCTGCCTTACATACACAATTTATTTCTTACACTGAATAATAAAAGTTCATTTATTCTTTGACCAATATTGCTATTTCTGAGTTAGCTGTGTCCGTAGCTTCTCCTACTCCATCTGTGTCCACATTCTCCATCCCCCAAACTGACACTGAATGTTGCATAAATGACCTTCACAAACAGTACAGCGAATATAAGTGAGATGAAATAATGAGCTATCTCTTTAAAATAATGCTCTAAATGGCAATTATATTTTATTGATGCAAAAGCATAATATTGCACAATATGTGAAAAGAAAATAGTTGGCCTAACTTTTACCTAGCCAAAAAGAAAGCTTTCATATTCTGAATCACTTTTCACAAACTGAGATTTGAATATCACTTGCTCTGAAAAATTTCATGAAGGGTTATAACAATGAAAGAATTAACATTTTTTAGGTCTTGTATGGTACAGTGTGTGATAGTTGTTATTCCATAGGTATTCTATAAATGTGCGATTATAGGGACCTGTAAAATCCTTATATAGTTTACACAAATTTTACATAAACACTAACAAGCCTTTATGTTTATCCCTATGTTTATAACTAAATCATTAGTCTTGGTATTTTTTCGTTCATCAATAAAGATAAACTAAATAAAATACATTAGAGACCAGTTTTTTGCAATTAGCATTTAATGCCATTGTTTACTAACCTATCAATATTTATTTTTGTATGCTTCTGTGTGTGTGTGTGTGTGTGTATACAGACAGACACATGTTCATAAGCACATTCACTGTTCCAATTTGAAGTTACTGAAGTAGATTTCACATTATGTGAAGGAAGTGGTACAAGAGAATAACAATTGTATTATTTGCTGATAAATACATACAGTTCATTTATTAGTTGTACTTCATTTGGCTAGCATTGTTTCATAACCACAACTTTTAGGCTAGTGATATAGAACAGAAGTAGTGATGGAAATACTGGTCTATTTGGCAATAAAATGTATGTAAAATGACATTTTTTTTTACTGTCTGGAATTTTAACCTGAACCTTGATTAAAGAAGTATATGCATATATTACAGTAAAATACATTACTTGTCTGGACATTTTACAGGTTTATCATTCTAGTCTGTCATTTTAGCCTTTACGAAAAACATCATTTTGTATTTTTATACTGAAAGTTTGGTTTCCATGTTTTGCGTTGCTCACAGAAATGATTAATGGATGCTTTGGCAAATATAAATTCTTTTGTATTTTCCTCAGACATGAATAAGTAGATGTACAGGAAAACCATGAAAAGGAACGATAAAGCTAAAGTTGAACAGGCATGGAAAACACTGACATTTTTCTCTGTAAGTTTATGGCATTTATAATATTTTACCTGAAAACAGTTCTAAGTGTTATAGCAATCTAAATTGATTACCATATTAAAAAAATGGCATTAAAAACGTTGTAATTTTTTTGACATATTATATTAATAGTGTTTAAACTTTTAATGGAAAGTTTTGGTTAGAGGTTATATATTTTTGGAGTATTAAATAACTATTCTATCTACTCTGGTTTGTTTTTATGAATTATTAAATACACATTTCTTCCATCATCTTCTTTAGCAATTGGAAACTTATTTTGTCTGTTCTCCAATCTTGATACTCTGTTAAACATTTAACTATCTAATATACTTTAAGTCAAATACTGTGTTTCTGAATCAGGGCAGAGGGATGAATTTCTTAATGGAGAGGATCTTTTGCTGTATTGGCACTTGATTGATCTCTCAATGATAACATGTCATAGTTACTCTGACTGCCTTTAACTGACCTGTTTTATTATGCAGTTAAGAAATAAACTAAAATTCCTTAATGTTTCAAGAGAAGTCTCAATGCCTTTTTTTTTTTACCAGTTTTTCTCCTCGCTGGCTGAGCAGTTGTTGTAGGAAAAGTTTCTGAGTATTGTCTGAGGTGAGTTTAAAGCAAAGAAAGGCCAAATAAGCAGTTTCAACATTGTTGGAATTAAAGCTCTTGTATTTGAATGTTTTGTGAACCATTTCGGAGTAAATGCTGTATGTGAATGAAATTGAACCTTGTATTTATTATGTAACTTTATTATGAAAAGGGTATTTGTTGATCTTTATCATCTTAAAAGTGGACAAAATTCCTTTTGGTTTTTAAGATTATAGTTTAATGGTAACTGGGCTGTTAGACACCTAAAAAAAATGAAGTAAGACATTTATACATCTAATAATTTTAGAGAGGTGTTAAAACACTACAGTTTATATAATGGAGTAAAGGAAAGGTTTGAATTCGGGTGGTCAGTTTTTAACCACTTGCATTCATGATAGCATGAAAATTAAGCCACTTCCTCTTTAATGTCATTTATGACCAGATAAATAGGATCTCTACTGGGTTTTATTTTATAATTTACAATAAAAAGTTGTGTCTAAATGTCTTCATCATTTTTAAGGTGTCTAGTTGTCCTGGATTCTAGTTTTATACCTAAGATATGTTATGAATTGTGGATTCCAGTGAGGACTTGACTAGTTTTACATTTTTATTGATCTGAAGCTTTTAATGGCTAATATTCTATTTATATTTTGTTTCATAATGTCCCCCATTGAGACAATGGGGGGGATATACAGACTTACAATACTAAAATCGGGGTTTTATCCTCCATGGTGGATGCAGTAGATAGCCAAATGTGGCTTTGATGTAAAACAGTTTATTTCAAAAGATGTTTTTGTTTTAGAGCATTTTATTCTGAATTTTAAACCAAATCTTGGCTCTTCTCACGTGAGAATGTGTTTTGGTAGTTAAATATATATCGTAAAATTCTTTAGCATTATTAATATTTGAAAAGTGAGCTGTTGGAGCCATCAGTTGCTGCTCTTACTTTTTTGGTATGGGCAAATTCAGTGTTGCTTGACCTCTTGTTCTAACGTTCATGTTTAACAGTCAAATATTAACCTCTATCAGGCATATGATTTTATTCCTTTCCAGTTTTTGATATTATAAGTTAAAAAATAAAATACCTTGTTGTTAATAAATTGATACTCTAAGTATCCAAATGGTTAAGAAAATCCAGTTGGAATGTGAACTTGAATTAATTGTTAAATAATGTTTGAATGGTGTTGGACAAATAAGTAAAATTTTTTTTAAAATCAAAAAGTTTTTTTTTGCTATTTTAGCATGTTTTCAGAGAATATAAAGCAATATACTATTGATTGCAAAACTTGATTTTTGAATATATATTAGTTCTTGCTGCTGTTACATATTGGAATAAAAGTCACACAGTGGAATTTTCTAGTCAGCTGATGATCTGCGTGTCATCTGAATATTGATGATAAAATAAATGGCTGATGACTAGCCTTAGAAATGTGATAATTAATGTACCTTGATTTGAAAAGCATGGTAAGACAGTATTTTCTTTGATAGTTCGGACTCGAGAATCCATACTGTCTGCTTAGAGAGGAAGTAATGACCACAGTGCTCTTTAATGTAAACATGCCAACACATCTGTTATTTAAAAGTAAGTTTTAAATAAAAGTCCTTGGATTATACTGAAATTTGTGTTCCATTTCATTTGTTTCTTTAGAATTTTGTGATAATTAGATGACTTTAATCCTACACTCTGAAGGTGCTGAGTTGATTTTCAAACTGTTTACTTTACTTCATCTTGACCCCGTTATCAAGAGTAACTGTTGCATATTAGGTTGTCAAAAAATTAATGTCCCAAAAAATGTACATTATATATAATAGTTAAATGAACTGCCTACACGTCACGGTAGTGTAGCCTGTAAAGTTTAGTGTACTCTAATCCCTTAGTGATAGCACACGACAAGACACACAATCAAATACAAGAAGGGAAACAATGCCTCTGTAACAACAGAGAATATCAAAGAAGTTTATGGAAATGTTTTGAACGTTTGTAAGTGTCAACAATGGTTCAGTAGATTTTGTTCAGGTGACTTTAGCCTTAAAAACTGATATTGATGCTTTGAAGACATTAGTCTAACCCAAAGCAACACACTCATGAAATGGCCTTGAAATTGCATGTCTCTCATGAAACAATACA